TAGAGTTTAAATTGATAAAATTAAAAACTCAAAATTTATCAAATTCTAAGGGTTTTTTTTTTTATAGTTTTTTTTGCAATTTTTCCCTTTTTCCAAAAATGGTGAAGCTTCAAAAAATCCACCGTTTTCTTGTGGTTTTCATTTTAAGCAAAAACATGTCAGAAAATTCAAACCAAAATTTTCTTTTTCTTTTGATTTTTAAAGAGTCGATTTTTCAATAAAATATTTTTTAAAAATAATTCACCAACAAATTTGTTCATTTTAGGGAAAATTAGTCTAAGGTCTCTCTCCATTTTTTGTGATGGAAGAGATCCACAATATTATTTTGTGATGTCTAAGGTCCCTTAACCCTACACTCATATATCACAAAAAAATTCACTATCTCGCTTTCTCTTTCAACCCAACAATTTCTTCTTCCCTCTCTCTGATTCACTAACTTGACCTCCATTCATCTCTCTCTCTCTCTCTCTCTCTCTCTCTCTCTCAGTGTTTAAGGTGGTTCAATGGTTGGTTCTGCAAGAGATTTGGTTTCTTTAGTGTTGGTCTTTTTGATGATGATCATTAGCTTCTCAGAAGGCAGAGAGTTCTTGGTTGAAGGCAAGACTAACGCATGGAAGACTCCTTCGTCTGAATTTGAGTCTCTCAATCTATGGGCTCAAAACTCTCGCTTCCTTATTGGCGATTCTCTCGATAATTCAATCCTCCATCTTCATTTCCATTCTTAATCTGTCTCTGTCTATGTGTTTGTTTCTATTGATTTTAAAATCTCTCTCTAATGCAATGCAACAGTGTGGAATTATGATGGAAACAAAGATTCGATGGTAGAAGTGAGGAAGAGAGACTACATTACCTGCAACACATCGAGTCCAATCATAGAGCACAAGGATGGTAACACCAATGTCAAGCTCGATCGGTCGGGACCATTCTACTTCATCAGCAGAGAAGAGGGACACTGCGACAAGGGCCAAAAACTGATTGTGGTGGTCATGTTTGCTAAACTAATATGGAAATTGATTTGTGTTCTGTTTGATATTGTTTCACAGGTAAATTTCAAGAGGTTTGTGGGAAGTTCAGGAAGGCCATAAAAATTTTCAAAATTTCTCTGGAGAAAGGGAAGGCCAGAGAAATTAAATTTCTCTGGACAATGGGAACTATAAGGAAGGCCGAAGAAAAAAAATTCTCTCAAGAGAAAGGAAGGCCAAAGAAATTTACAGTGGGAAGTCTAGGGAAAGTCAGAGAAATTTTCAAAATTTCTCTAGAAAGTCCTAGAATTTCTCTGGACCAATTTTTTCTGTGAAGTTGAATTTTCTCTAGATCAATTTGAAGGACCTATCAAGACAAAATGACATACCTGAATCCATTGATGAACGGTTAAACGGAAGCGTCTGATTGTCAATAAAACCTTTGATATTGACTATGTTATTGCCTTCTAATCCTTTCCCTTATGTGCCTTATGTTTCTCCTTGAGAGGATTTAGAAAGAAAAATGGCAGTGTTCTTATTTTCTTTTTTTCACTTGGGAAGGAATAGGGACCATAACCTTTTAAAGGTTGTAATTGGTTTTCAAAACTGAAAGGTTGTGGAAGTTCAAAAGGTATGAAAACCAACTTTAACCATTATTGGTTTTAATTTCTATTTATTGGTTTTCAAAACTGAAAGGTTGTGGAAGTTCAAAAGGAATGAAAACCAATTTTAACCAATATGTTTTAATTTCTATTTCTGCCCCTCATAGAAATAGAAATTATACAACTAGTATCTACACATTATGTCCATAACACATATACCCTTAAGCCTATTAACTAAATTGAATCACTTAAATTGTAGGCTTCTTATAAATGATAACACCACATTTAATTATGTGGTCCCATTGAGACATTATCTAACGATCTTCCACTGGACCACATATGTATCCTGAAAAATGTGCTTAACTTTAGTGAGCTCAGAAATTTGTTATCATAACTTGAGGGTATCCAAACAATCTTGTCCATTAACTATATTAATATAGGATCAAAGCGGTCTTCGTTACATCCATCGTAACTCGACCCACCAATGGTCACGTATACTAATACAGTTAAATGACATAGATCAGTCATGGATGCGTAGCATGGAAATTACATGTGATGTGATCCATACATGCCTATTTCCAACTGGTCCTACTTAACTTTATTGAAATCAATACTTCACAATACGTAACAGAGGGTAATAAACTGAATATTTCATTTCTGCAGAAATTAATCTAATTACATAGATAAAACTCAAGGCTGACATAAAGCAGTAATAAAAATACAAACTCCCACTAAACTAGAATGTTCTCAAATAGAACAACACCCATCTGAGCAGTGTGCTCATGAAAGACCTTGGGTGGTAGTCCCTTCGTAAGTGGATCCGCTATCATGGAGTTTGTCCCAATGTGCTCTATGGAAATCTGTCCACTCTGCACTCTTTCTTTTACAACTAGGAACTTGATATCAATATGTTTTGATTTTGTCGAGCTCCTGTTGTTATTGGAATATAAAACTGCAGACTTATTGTCACAATATAACTTAAGTGGTCTTGCAGTGCCTTCCAAAATACGCAACCCAGTGACAAAATTCCGCAGCCATATCCCTTGGTTTGATGCCTCATAACATGCTACAAATTCTGCGGCCATGGTAGATGAAGCTATGAGCATCTGCTTTGCAGACCTCCAAGAAATTGCTCCGCCAGCTAACAGATAAATATAGCCTGATGTGGATTTCCTACTGTCTTGGCATCTAGCAAAATCGGAGTAGGAATATCCAATGACCTCTAACTTATCCGATCTCCAATATGTGAGCATATATTCCTTTGTTCTCTGTAAATATCGCATAACACGCTTGACTGCTTTCCAATGATCCATGCCAGGATTACTTAAATATCTGCCTAACATGCCAACTATAAACGCAATATCCGGACGCGTACATACTTGAGCATACATTAGACTCCCTACAGCCGAGGCATAAGGAATCTTCTGCATTTCTTGAATTTCAAGACTGTTCTTCGAGCATTGGCTAAGACTAAACTTGTCTCCCTTAGCAACTGAGGTTTCACCTGATTTACAATTTTGCATGCCAAATCTATTGAGTACTTTTTCGATATAGCTCCTTTGTGATAATCCCAGAATACCCCGAGAATGATCTCGGAGTATTTCAATTCCTAATACAAAGAAGCATCACCAAGATCTTTCATTTCAAAATTCTTAGATAGAAATCTCTCCAAGATCTTTCATTTCAAAATTATTAGATAGAAATCTCTTAGTGTTATGCAATAAGTTTATATCGTTTGTGGCAAGCAATATGTGGTCAACATATAAAATCAAAAATATGTGTTTACTCCCACTGAACTTGTGATACACACAATCATCAACAACGTTAGTTTCAAAACTATATAAAGTGAGAACTTGATGAAATTTGAAGTACCACTGACGAGAAGCTTGTTTGAGTCCATAGATGGATTTAGTCAATTTGCAAACCATATTCTTTGGGTCTCCTGACACAAAGTTTTCTGGCTGCACCATATAAATTGTTTCTTTATAAACCTCATGAACGAAAATTGGACTCTAAAACCATTAGCAGCTACTTTATTGGCTATGCCGAACGATCACGGGGTTACAAGTTTTATGATCCCACAAATAGGTCAATATTTGAGACGGGAATTGCAACATTTTTTGAGGATGTTGAGTTTGGGGGGAAAAATCCAGTTAGAGATATTGTCTTCTGGAGATATACAATATAATCATCTGAAAATGCAAATCTCCTTTCTCTGGTGGATCGCCTTAATGGCACAGATTCTTGAGGTTGAGGTTGTAGAGTTTGTTCCTCAGGGACAATTACCTCATCTTGAATGGGGGTTTGAACTATATTATCTTGAACAACATTGTCTGGTTGAGGATCCGAAATTACTTCTCGAGCAATGGCAGGTATAGGAACCTGTGATTGGTCAAAAAGTAGTAGTAGGAAGTGGATTACTTATACAATATAATCATCTGAAAATGTAAATTTCCTTTCTCTGGTGGATCGCCTTAATGACACAGATTAGAGTTTGTTCCTCAGGAACAATTACCTCACCTTGAATAAGTTACCAATTCAAAGAAACTGGAGAGAAAGTTTCTTTAAAGTCACCATTAAGTTACCAAACAGATAATCTCCAAATAAATTAATTTAATGACAACATCTCAAGATACCTAGAACAACATTAATACCAAGCCTTTGGGTAGTGATATTAATTGTAAGCGGTATTCTTGTTGTAATGATCAAACATTGACAATAAGTTATGTCAAATAACAAATCTATCTTTTGATGGATTTATTATTCACATTAGGTTTTCTTGACAATTGGCACATGTTTATCACCACAAAATGTGTGTGTAATTATGCCAAGTCTTAATCATGTCTTTGGACCGGTAAATACCCGCATGAGATACACAGACATGAACTTCAAAACATTCCATATAAAACAATCTAGACAAGAGAGATCACTTTTGTGACATCTTGTTTGAATTGACTTATATTGAGAGTGTTAGAAAATTAAATTTATTTAGAGATTATCTGTTTGGTAACTTAATGTGAGCATAATTGTTTATTCCTTGGACTCTAAAACCATTAGCAGCTACTTTATTGGCTATGCCGAACGATCACGGGGTTACACGTTTTATGATCCCACAAATAGGTCAATATTTGAGACGGGAATTGCAACATTTTTTGAGGATGTTGAGTTTGGGGGGAGAAATCCAGTTAGAGACATTGTCTTTGAGGAGAAAGCAGGAGTAATCCCACTTCCTACTACTACTTTTGAATCGTAATAAAGATCAAATTAGTTCATAAAAAAACCACACAAAAGCCTCACAACCAAAGTCAGAAAACTATGGTTCACATTACTAGATTGTCAAAAAAGTCTAATTAATTAACAACTGCTGAGGATGTCCTTTTAACTGTAATTTAAAACAATGAGAAGAGAAGCAGAGCAGACCATCCAGAGGTTTAACAAAATCCAAAAGAGGGTTTAAAAAACAAAAGCTTGGTATATAGATGGTTTTTGTTATCATTGAAAAAACAGAAAAGGTTCAGCTGGAAAACTATTCCTGCGGCTGTGTTATGGTTTATCTGGAAACAGAGGTATGGCAGCATCTTTAATGGCACACAACCAGATCTGGTGGAGCTGTGTGAGGTCATCAAACTCAGGGCTGCTGCTATGAATTAGCTCACTCAAACAGTGGTTCTTCATGAG